GTAGCTACTCTAGTAGAAGAAGAAGAAATTGGATTTATACCCTGCCCTTCACTACCCAAAGGAGTCTCAGAGCGGCTTACAAACTCCTTTCCCTTCCCCTCCCCACAACAGACACCCTGTGAGGTACGTGGGACTGAGAGAGCTCTGACAGAAACTGCTCTTTTTCCAAGAACAGCTCTTATCAGAGCTACGGCTTGCCCAAGGTCATCCAGCCAGTTGCAAGTGGAGGAGTGGAAAATCAAACCCAGTTGTCCCAGATTAGAATCCACGCACTTAACCACTACACCAAATTGGCTTCCCTGGAGCCACTAGGCCTCTCTAGAGCCTATAGGCCACACTACTATAGGCCTAGGATCATGGCAGGCCCTATGCAGACTTGTGCTAGGCTTTCTTTTTTTAGGTTTGAATATCTAAAGTAGTTCAGCTGTTCAGTAGTTCAGCAGTTCGAGACCTGGGTGCCGCATGATGGAGTGAGCTCCCATCTCTAGTTCCAGCTCCTGCCAACCTAGCAGTTCAAAAGCAAGAAATTGCAAGTAGATAAATAGGTACCACTCCGGTGGGAAGGTAACAGTGTTCCGTGCGCCTTGGTGTTTAGTCATGCCGGCCACATGACCACGGAAACGTCTTCGGACAGCACTGGCTCTTCGGCTTTGAAACGGAGATGAGTGCCGCAACCCTGGAGTCGGATTTGACTGACTTTTGAGCAAGGGAACCTTTACCTTTACCTTATCTAAACCACATTTAAGGATTAGCCACAAACCAGGATCCAAAACCATGCTTTGAAATGAGGTTTCAAACCTATTACTCGTATTAACTACAGCTGATACTGAATCAAACCAATAGTCCATCAAGGTCAGGACTATCGAGTCAGACTGGCTGTAGCTCTCCAGGGCTGTAGGTAAAGGTCTTCTGTATCACCTACTGCCTGGTCTTTTTTTAACCAGAGATGCCGGGGATTGAATCTGGGACCTTCTGCATGCAAAGCAGAGGCTCTTCTACTGAGCCATGGCCTCTGGCGTTTTTAACCACGGTCAAAAGCATCGCATCTTCACCAATGTAACCCCAGGACAGTTTTACTACGGTACCTCTGCAGCATTTCAGCAAGGTGATTAGCTAATCTAGTATGCACTTTTAGGGACAAAGATTAGATCACCAAGATAGCCAATAGGTTTATGGTTTGGGATCGTATCCAGATTAAAGGCAACAAACCATGATTAAGGATGCAATCCTAAAGACACTTTCCTGGGAATAATCCCCACTGAATTAACACTGAACTTACTTCTGAATAGCCCTGGTTAGCAATGCTCCTGAAGCATTTCTTGCACCAACCTAGAGAAGTATCTGGACAGTTCAGAAGTACTTTTGAAAAAGTTTCACAGTTTACATAATTAGATGTGCTAGCATGGGACTGCGTGGGACTGCCCACACTTCTGACTTGCCGTTTCATGCTACAGAGGTTGGGGAATCAAACTGGTGCTGAGTTCTGGTACCATCCGAACACCTGGTAACCAATTTCAAAGCAGGAGAAAGTGTTCTTGCTTATCAGTGGCCTTTCCCATGTATTTTCTGTGCTTTGATTCTTAGAGTCAGTACAGAATGCTGCTATGCCCAGTCTGATTTAATGTGAACTGCAGTAGTCTCGTCTACATTCTAAACTGCTGTTGCCCTGCTAAAGGATGCATTTATGTTCCAAGTCATAAATTATACACAGTTCAAGTTAAATACAGGCTTCCACTGCTGAGAACTTGTTGTTCTTCAAAAGAATGCACTAAAAATATTATAAATGACATTTGTGGAAGTTAAGTCATTGCTGGACATCCCATTTCCAAATATGAACACTTTAGTTTCAGTAAGTGTCTGCTGAACATTATCTTCCAATCAGCTGTATACATGGGACAAAAAGAGGACTTTTTAATAAGGTCTCACAACTGTTCATGGCTTTTCTCTCCTCTGTTGAAAGAGGATCTCTCCTCAAGTAGTACCAAGAAACCAGATTTGGACAGGAAAATGTCATGCAATCAGCCAGTGAAAGGATGACTCATTTAACAACTTCTAATGGCCTCACAGAGATGAGAATGCTGTTGGATAAAGCAGTCCCAAAAATATCAGGGAAGAGTAGTTAAAAATATAGCCCCATCACCTGTTCCAAAAAAAGTAGTTCTTAAAAATTCTTTGCCATGAAAGTCATCATGATGAAATTCACAAAGAAAATGTAAAAGAGGAGCTAAAGTGAAAAGGAAGCTATTACTATAAGCTAACACGACCCTGAACACTTTTCCTGACATTTCCACTTTTCCAGAATTGAGTTTGACTGATCTGAAATTGACTAGACAGTGGTCAGCTCAGGAATAAGCGACTGTGTACTGTTAGGCTGAATTGTTTAAAGCTTTGGTTCTGTTGATGATTTATGCAGTCCTGATGAAGACTGAGGAAACCCCTGCCACTCCGGAATAGGGCGCTGACCGCCTGGAATCTTCCTGAACTTTTGTTGTAAGGATCTTCAGACGTTTTTGTACCAACTGCGGACTTTACCACACTTGTGAAATAAGTCATACTGTATTAGGATGGTACTACATTCAACTGTTGCAGTGTGTTGTCTTTACAGTGTGTTATGTACTAGTTTACAAAAATTGATTTTGTATTGAACTACTACACGGTGTTTGTTCTAGTAGGCATGGAGGTGGCAGATGGTGCCACAAATTGCATCCTAGATCGAAGAGTAAGATATATACATGAGTTCTGAAAAGCAACAACATTGAGGGCTGGAAGAAAGCTCTGTGGTTTGTTCCAAGAAATACACACACACACACACTCTCACAGAGGACAGATGAAAGTCTTTCTACTCAAAGCATCAAATTGACTCATGGGGGGAAATTTACGTTGCTGGACATAATGGAGGAGGAGGAGGAGGAGGAGGAGATTGGATTTATACCCCGCGCTTCACTCGGAGTCTCAGAGCGGCTTACAAACTCCTTTCCCTTCCCCTCCCCACAACAGACACCCTGTGAGGTGGGTGGGGCTGAGAGAACTCTGACACAAACTGCTCTTTTTCAAGGACAGCTGTGCCAGAGCTCGTGACTGACCCAAGGTCACATCAGCAGGTGCAAGTGGAGGAGTGGGGAATCAAACCCAGTTCTCCCAGATTAGAGTCCGCACACTTAACCACTACACCAAACAGGCCAAAAATGCATGCAGACCATGTTGATTCCATATAATTACTCTGTTCTGACAACTTACACTGTGAATGAGCTATCTGTGACGATATATCAGGGCTGCCTACTCTGAGCTGGGAAATACCTGGAGATTTGGAGGATGAAACCTGGGGAGGGCGGGGTTCGGGGGAGGGGAGGGACCTCAGCAGGGCATCATGCCATAGAGTCTACCTTCCAAAGCAGCCATTTTCTCCAGGGAAACTTGTCTCTGTAAACTGGAGACAAATTGTAATTCCAAGAGTTCCCCAGCAGCCACCACCTGGAGACTAGCAATCCTATGATATATGGATGTACGAAGTTAGTCTTTAGTTAGTTAGCTGGGTTATTGCAGTTTCACTGATTCACTTTTACTGCTGATATGCTGCATTAAGTTTTGTGTGTGCTGATTTGACAGTTTGAAATTGGATAAGATAGCGCTGTAAGAGGTTTTAAACTTTAATTGTTGTTACCCGCCCTGAGCCTGCGATGCAGGGGAGGGAGGGCTAGAAGTCTAATGTAATAAATAAAGAAGAAAGAAAGAAGTTATTCGTTTGTTATTAATAGTACAATTATGTTAAAGAATTACTGTGGTCTAAATCCGTTGGTTTCGAAGGGTTTAGACTAGAGTCACCCTGCATGAGACGGAACTGCAGGAAACCAGAGAGCAACCTCTAAAACGGATTAGCAAGGGGTAAAAAAAGCCAGCATTTTTTAGTATTTGCAATAAATCACCTACACAGGTTGATTTGACACTTAACTTGTTCATTCTTATACTGTTAACACTGTAGTCCTCTGGTTTATTTCCTTAACGCCCATTGTCTCCAGATACATACAAAGAACACTTGTATTCAGGAAACGAAAGTGAGTATGATAACACTTTCCCTTTCCATTTCAAATAATCAGTCTTTTCTGATAAGGCCAACCCCTTTAATGTGCCATTATTGACATTCCCAGTTCTCTGTGGTATGTAAACCTCAGTCTAGTTTCACATTTCTCTGAAAGAAAACTTAATCCCACATGGGATAATGCAACTTGATTTTTTTTAAATCCTATACGGAATAGCAAACAAATACAAAGCCACCGCCCCCTCAAGCAAATTTTTTTAGATGTCTTCCATAACAAACGTTGACTTACAAAACCAACAGACTTATTTGTGGCTGCAACTCTGAGCAATGTCAGTTTTGGTCACATGATTTTAAGCATTTGACACATAATTTGAAATGATATCTGTTACTGTCTGTCTAAACTAGACCATGTTTGTAAAATAATACTTCTGACAACTTGAAGTGTATAGTTACAACACAACACTGGAATCAATGAGTTCTAGCTTGTCTTAAATGCACATGGAATTATGTCCTAAGTTTGAGGCAGTATGGCATTTAATCACAAAAAGCTCTTTTGCACAGCAAGATTGATAACACTTACTGAACTCTCTTACATTATAAAACAGAAGGAGGGGGAGCTGGTTTTATACCCCGCTCTTCACTACCCAAAGGAGTCCCAGAGCGGCTTACAATCGCCTTCCCCTCCACTCCCCGCAACAGACACCCTGTGAGGTAGGTGGGGCAGAGAGAGCTCTAAGAGAACTGTGACTGACCCAAGGTCACCCAGCTGGCTCAATGTGGAGGAATAGGGAATCAAAACCCCGTTCTCCGCTGCTCTTAACCACTACACCAAGCTGGCCCGGGTTCAAAATCCTACTGCATGTGGAAATGGTTCCGAGTAAGCTGCTTGTGGCCTCAGGTGCCTGTGGGATGACAGGGCAACAATTTGGAACGAATGGGGAATACATGAATGGTAAACACATACCGAGTTCCAAGGCAAACTAGAATCTGGAACTTGCCGTCCTTCCCTATGCTGCGTGGAGCTGTATTGATGGCGTTGACATAGCGGCAGAATGTTGTGTAGGAGGATTTCTGGAGAAGCACATCTTCTTCGCTGTCTCCAACCTGGTCTGTTGTCTCAAAGTAGGCAACGGCTTTCTCTGAGCATGAAGGGAAGGTGAAAATGAAAATGCTTTCTTGGCAACGAACGACAGCCTTTAGGCCCATAGCACCTTAGAACCAGATGTTATGGAAGACATGACTATTGACCCCAACAGCAGCCCCAGTCTCTTCTTCTCTCGTTTCTTCCCCCATACCCCAGAGCAAGCTAATTTATGCAGTAGCCAAATTACTCGCTCACAACTTTAATGCCAGTAGCTCACAAAGTAGAATTTTTGTTCACAAGACTCCAGAGCTTAGAGGGAACATTGGTGGGCACAATCCCAAAGTGGCTACCACAAGAGACAGAGCCAGGCACAAAGTATCGGGGAGGGAGGCCATGCATAATTCTAGTCCTAACTCTTCAGCATTTCAGTCAGAATATGTGTTGAACAGGATGCCTTCTAAGCAATGCTCCCTCTAAGCTGTGGAGTCTTGTGAGCAAAAAATTCCTACTTTGCGAGCTACTGGCACGAATGTTGTGAGCCAGCGATTTGGCTGCTGCATCAATTCGTTTGCTCTGGGAGCCCTCCTTCCTGAGCTAAGACAAAGACGTGTGAGTCGGGGGCTAAAAAACTGTGAGCTAGCTCACACTGACTCAGCTTAGAGGGAGCACTGCTTCTGAGATTAGCATTTAAAAAAAAAATATTTCCCTGCATACACACAGTTTGACTTCATTCCTATGCTAAAGAACCTTGTGCTGTGGTTTTAAAAATCTGCACAGCCAATCAGATCTCCAGTGGCCAATCGGAAGCCCAATTGGGCAAAAGCCCCCGCCTCCTAAAAACACTTGGCAAGTGCCAGGAAAGGTGTCAGCGGAGCCCACGGAGCACCACGTTGGGAACCCTGATCTAGGAGTACAACATGCACCATGTCAGCACACTGCAGATTTAGCAGTCAATGTACTGGGAAAACTCACATATTATCCCATTATGAGTCTTTTACCATCAGATACTACCAAGGAGAGCGACTGCTGTTGTTAGTAGCCCCCTTGAATGTATCCTAACATCTGCCATCACTTCTGAGATTAGCATTTAAAAAAAAAAAATTTCCCTGCATACACACAGCTTGACTTCATTCCCGTGCTAAAGAACCTTGTGCTGTGGTTTTAAAAATCTGCACAGCCAATCAGATCTCCAGTGGCCAATCGGAAGCCCGATTGGGCAAAAGCCCCCGCCTCCTAAAAACACTTGGCAAGTGCCAGTAAAGGTGTCAGCGGAGCCCACGGAGGACCACGTTGGGGGCCCTGATCTAGGAGTACAACATGCACCATGTCAGCACACTGCAGATTTATCCACTTCTCTAAGTAGCAGTCAATGCACTGGGAAAACTCACATATTATCCCATCATGTGTCTTTTACCATTAGATACTACCAAGGAGAGGGACTGCTGTTTTTAGTAGCCCCCTTGAATGTATCCTAACATCTGCCGTCAACCAATGTTCCCTCTAAGCTGAGCTGGTGTGAGCTAGCTCAGTTTTTTAGCCTCCGGCTCACACGTTTTTGCCTTAGCTCAGGGAGGATGGCTCCGGAGCAAGCTAATTTATACAGCAGCCAAATCGCTGGCTCGCAACTTTAATGCCAGTAACTCACAAAGCGGAATTTTTGCTCACAAGATTCCACAGCTTAGAAGGAGTACTGCCTTCAACCCTAATTAGCCTTTCTTTAATGAGTGATCAAATGAATAAACACACACACACATGTTGTTTTCAGTGTTACAAGGTTCAATTGCTGACCTGCTCAGACCAAAGATAGCAGATTATTTTCTGTGCAGCTTTTGCTAAACGCTTGAAGGGAAAATCCTTACTCTGGTTGACACTGACCAGGTTAAAACAGAGACAAAAATATTCTCTGTGATTCTGTATGGATGAGATTTCAAAACAAGAACCTGGCAGCTCCAACTGGTTCAAAATGCCGTTCATAGTCTCAGTGGATGGCACAGCCCCTGTTGTTTACTCTTGGGGAACACACAGGCATTTAAAACTATATATTTGTGCATTAAACACCACATCCTGGCAACTGCCTTAGCTTTCCCTCACATTTAATAAGTAACTATTCTGTTATTTAGCTATTCGTTTCTTGAGTGGCATCTTGGCCTGGTCTGGGTTAGAACCAGCTAATTTATAGTCTCAAAATGCATTCCTAAAGCACTGAGAACATAGTAGCTTTGAACCCAGAGGTAATTACTACCTTGAAGGCATCCACGGTGGAAAAAGCGTTCTCTCTATATTCTACTGCTTTACACTAGCATACAAGTGTAAAAGTTTACTGCACAAAGGTGCAGTTTTGGTATGGAGAGCAGGCACTTCACCAGTCCCGTTTCAAGAATTTAACCAGTGTTGCACAGGTCCCGAACACAATGAACCACACCAAAAAGGCAATGTGCAAGTCAGCATAGAGACGACTGCCCCAAGACATATTGGTGCCCAGTGCAAAACAATAAGAACCAACTCCTATTCAAAGTCAGCTCCATTTTATTCAATTAGACTTATTTTTTTTTAAGTGTTCTTAGGACTGCAAGGCCACATTCCGTTCCTTCTCCTTGGTGGTAAAGATGTCGCAATAGGCTATTCGCTGGCTGAGGGGTCCCCATTGCTTTACAGAATTTTTGGGCCACCACTTTTTTTCTGCAGGCATAAATACATGCTGGAAATCAGTTTCACCAGTATGTCAGCAAGCTGCCAAAGGTTCTTTACTGTATGTGTTGTTTCTAGTTAGCCTTTCATGCGCATGTCTACCCAGACTTCCATACGCTCATCTCGTGCTGCTCTGCATTCCTTTCCTCGAACGCTATGCCCGCTTTGATGTACTGCTATCTGACCAAGGCCACAGGTGGGGATGAGCTGGCTTTGCTATGCTTAGTCTTTGCTGCACAGAAGTGTGGGAATAGATTAATTGTTTATAGTTCAGGGGAACGTTAGTTCTCAGGGTTTTGGCGCCAGCTCAGCAAGGCAGCCGTGAGCGTGGAAACCAGATCTATTGGCCACAGTAGTTCTGAACTTGCTTTATCCTTCCTTGCACAATCCGTTCTCATTATTCTGAACAGTGCCTATGTTCCAGTGCTTCATGACTTCAATAAAGTAAAACCTTTCTACAAGCGTGTACTTGATTGCCAGATGTGGGGTCTGACACAGTACTAACTACAATGCAAGTGTAATGGACAACCAAGCCCAGGCTAGCCTGATCTCATCAGATCTCAGAGGCTAAGCAGGGTCAGGCCTGGCTAGTATTTGGATGGGAGACCTCCAAGGAATACCAGGCTCACGATGCGGAAGCAGGTAACGGCAAACTACCTCAGAACGTCTCTAGCCTTGAAAACCCCACAGGGTCACCATAAATAAATGGCAAAATAAATAAAATAAATAAATAAATGGCAAATAAATTTTTAAAGAACGGACAGCCAGGGTCTGTACCCAGCAAATCGTGCTGATTACCTATGAAGTCCCAGATGAAGACGTTTTTATGGAATATACGAGCGGACTTGAAACCATGGTGGAAGACCTGCTCCAGTGCCACAACCAGGCCATTTTCTCCGCACAACAGAACAGTGAGACTTCCCCTCTACAGAAGAAGAAAGGATGTTTGAAAACATTTCACATATCAACACATATATTTTTAAAGAATACTGTTAATGGTATCCCCGCTTCTGGTTTAGTGTTGCCCCTCAACAAATTTTCTAGGTGAGTTGCAGTCTCTGCATCTCTCCATTACTGCACCTAGGCAGAAGAAACCTCCACCTTGGATTCCAGGACCCAGCAATGACTTGGCAAGAGCTGCTGTACAAAGAGTGCAGGCCTGTTTTGGGGCCATCTGATATCGGAAGAAACATTCCGGGAAGAGAGCCTGGCCAGTGATCGGGGGGGCACAACCTCTCCCTGTACTTGTAAGCAGCTTTATTTGGGGGCCGCCCTCTTGAAAGGAAGGGCAAAGCTCTAGAATGTTCTGAAGCTGGATCTGTACCGCTGGTGCAGAAAGTCAAGAGAAGGAGCCAAAGCTCTCACTGATCCAGATGTCTTGCTCTTCAAAGGGCAATGTGTGAGAGCTGGGGTTCAGTATATACACGTAGCAACAGCAGTTCAGAAGATACCTCTTTCTCTGGCTTGTGAAAGTGTTTCACGATATTGTTCACAGCTTCCCCGATTCCCTCTTGGATCTGTCCCGCATTGGGTTCTAAGCATAAAGAAAAAAGTTGAGAGCAAAAGAGGGTGAATTCACCATCAATTTTAAACAGATGTAATAAAGCTGCTTTTCATGCACAGATTAAAGGCTGTGAGTGGCATTAAATGCTTTCAAAATGTCCAGACAGGGTGTGCCATTAATGCTGAAGATAAACCTACTTCATTACGAACTCCCCCAAAGCAGAAGTAAACAGCTACCCAGATATAATGTTTAACGCTTGCATTTACCCTGGTCAAATTGCAAATTCCATGCCTTTTAGACAGGGGTCATTTAGTAGAAAAAGAGGTGCAGGAGCTCATTAGCTTATTTGCATATGCCACACCCCCTGACATCACCGGAAGTGTGTCAGAAGGCAACACCCACCGCTCAAGCTCCACTGGACCGTTTTGGATTGCTAGCTATCGAAACGTGCTAGCTATCCAAACGTGCAGATCTGTCCTCACAGAGGAGGGAGAGCTTGTACCTGAATAAAACGTGGTCTTAAAGGTGTCACTGGACTGTTTTGGGCCAGGGGGGGCTCTGCAACTTACCTGGCTGCTTCTTGCTCTGACTGAGGGCTGCTGGGAGCAGGGGGTGGGGCTTGTTGCATGTGCCCACCCCCTGGGCTCTTTACTGCCAGAGCTCCGCTCCTGTGCGCTCCTGCAGGAAATGACCCCTGCTTTTAGGACGACATATTCCTAGCACCGTAAGCAAGACTTATGGATCCATGTGGCCTGGGAACATTGCATTTTCTTAAAACTTTTGTCACCAATCTTCTCGCAAATAAATATACATTCATCAATGCAATCATGATGTCAGTGTTTCAGCTATGCTGCCATGGGAGGGGTCAGATGACCTGTGTACAAAGTACTGAGGCATTCCTTCTGTGCTTCTTCTCTGCTGTAACGCTTGCTTATCTACAGCCATGCAGGTGGTGTGGTGTCTAGGAGTGAGGGAACTGTGGGAGTGCTGTCGGTTCCCAGCTTTGGCTCCAACGGCCTGGGGCTCCTTCTCCCGTGCGCAGAAATGTGGCTAATTGGCCCAAGGAAGAGGTGTGTGTGCATACGAATACCCTATATCCCATTATGCTTGTAGGGGCGACGCCATTCTTAACAGTGCCTTTGTTAATGCATCTATAGCTCTTCAATAAAGTATAACCTTTTTGGTAAGCATGTACTCCGTTGTTGGCTGTGGAACCTGACACAGTGGTCCAAACTTTGAAAGACTGAATATTCTAAAATCGGCAAGTTGGGTTATCCCAGTTTTTTGCAGGTATGCATTTATTAACATGCTGGAAAAACTGCATTTTCAATGTGCAGGGAAAATTGCACAGGCGGAAGATTAAGGCCCACCTTGCAAACATAAGAATGTGTCCATCTGGTGGACAAAAGCTGAAAAGGGGCTGTTCCCCAGCAGCCATACTATCTGCTTGTTACCACGACCGGAAGTTAGACCTTACTTGTATTTTTCCCTGTGAGGGTAGTGATGCTCAGCCGCCGAGCCGTAGTTGGGGATTTCTGCTGCGGCGGGGTTCGGCACTGCTTCCCGAGATCTTCCTCGGAGGTTGACGAAACCAGCTCTCCTATCAGGATCCTCTCCAGGCTGCCGTCATCCACTCCCTTCCCCAGCCACCTCCCACACGGGAACCTGAAGTGCCACACAATGCAGGAAGGAGCTACAATTAGATTATTTTTTTTCTAAAAGAAAAGACTGGCACAGACAAGCTTCTACTTGAAAAAAAAAATCACATTCTTTTGTCTCAAGTCATCCGAGCCCTGCAATCCATATACATGACATCAGTACAGGACCAGTACAGTCTGCATAGTTAAGTGTTGCACTTTGAGAACACAGTTTGGAAGGGGGAGAGGCCCTGCCCAAGAGCTGGCTCATATGCTTCAGTTCAATCCTTGTCTTGGAGAGTTGGACTTGGGGCAGGGCCTTTTCTTCACCAAGTCCCTAGAGCAGGGACTATGGCTCCAGAGCCAACGTGAGGCTCAGTACAGACCCAAATATTGCCCTTTAAAAAAATATTTGTGTTAAGGTATATTCAAGGGGTAGGTCAAAGGCCGGGAGGGAAGGCAGCATGGCATGGCCTGATCTCATCAGATCTCAGACGCTAAGCAGGGTTAGTGCTTGGATGGGAGGCCACCGAGTAAGACTCCGCAGGGCGAAGGCATTGGCAAAAGACCTGTGCTACTCACTTGCCTTGAAATACCTTTGCTGGGGTGGCCATAGGTGGGTTGTGATTTGATGGCACATATGCAGGCCACCAAATGTGAAGGGAGCACTCACTGGAGAAGACCCTGGTGCTGGGAAAGATTGAAGGTCAAAGAAGACGGGGACGGCAAAGGATGAGATGGTTGGACAGTGTCATCGATGCAACGAACATGAAGTTGAGCAAACTTCAGAGGACGGCGGAAAACAGGAGGGCCTGGCGAGATCTTGTCCATGGGGTCGCGAAGAGTCGGACTCGACTGTGCGACTGAACAACATGCAGGTATGTAGGTGGAAGGCTAGAATTACCAGTATGTGAAGGGAATAGCAGGGAAAGATTCTTGTGGGACTAAAGGGTTTCTTAGAGATGCTTTGCAGACAGGGAAACGATTGAAGGGAACAATTGCCAGTAATCCACATGCACATTTTTTCCTCCGTTTTTTAAAAAAATTAATTTTCAACATAAAAATACAAAAACAACAATTTTGGTATGAATACACAGTTGTAACAAAAGACTGTATGGATGCTAACAATTACTGTAATAAGAACTATATAACAACTTAGTATATAGCAATAATTTTAAGGCTATCTGGATTTATGCTAGAGCACTAAAGCAACAGGGGGTGCTTGTTTATATATTCACTACTGCTTCTATTGTGTGTGCTGATCCCTAATGGTTACAGTTGGATCACAGTCTTTTTCCATGGTGGGCCTAGTCCTTTGTAAAGGCCTAGCAGTGGATGCAGAGGGTATCTTCACTGGCTACATTTAGGAAGACATAAAAAACGGTAACTGTTTCAGCAGATTTGATTGTGTTTAACTATGAATGTGTTTCTTTCCCAAAATTCTGCATGTTTCTAAACATTTAATTTGTAATGTGGGCATTTTCATCTGTGTTCGAATGTTGCTAATTGCAACATTCATTTTTGCCCTTGCAACCTGGCTGGCGTACTGGTAGCCACCTTGAGTCCATGGAGATGAGGCAGGATAAAAATGTTTTGAATAAATAATGGAAAACTTGCAGCCGCTCAGTGTTTGTGCTGAGTAAATGTTACAGTTTATTAATCAACGTGTCAGTTACCAGTAATGCAACATGTCAATTACCAGCAGTGCTAAATTGTGTATTTTCATTTACATAAGTGGGCTGTCTTGTCGTGGCTCTTTGTTGATCTTTTGCTCTCAATTTTGATGTGGTTTGGCTTTTTTAATTATTAAAGGCTGCTGATGCCTGTCCTGCTCTCAGCCAGAACTGAGTTAGATGAAATGGGGGGGGGGGGGGGCCCCGCATTGGGGGGGGGGGGGGGGGTCCCTGACCTAGCCTAAGACAGCATCCTATTTTCATAGAGCATTATTTCAATACTTGTTTAGAAATCCCAATTTCTAAAGCAGCAAAGGAATATTCTTGACATTTTAGGTCTAGCTCTCGTGCTACTATTTAATAGAAAAGGGAAGTCTTGGGTCTCCATACTTCTTTCCTGAGGCATGATTTCCCCTACATACTTACATCAAATACTCTGACATTTGACAAAACACCCAGTAATTCTGTGGAACAACAAGCTTTCAGCAAAAGAGCTTCGGGCCAGGAATTTGAATGCTGTCTGCTTGCTTTGTAATTGTACGGCATTTTCAGATACGTACAACAACAAAAAAGAATATCCTTGATACTCCAGCTCAGGACAAAGAGCAACACACATTTTAAAAAGATTTAGAGAGTAAAGGGGGGAGGGCGGAAATGCTGCGTATATTTTGAAGAGTCGGAGAAGAGCCAATTTAGTGTAGTGGTTAGAGCATCCGACTAGGAACAGGAAGGAGCAGATTCAAATATCTACTGTGCCTTGAAACTCACTGGGCTACTTTCTTTCAGCCTGACCTACCTCATATGGTTGTTGTGGGATCAAATGGGGGAGAGAGCAGCATACGCCACCCTGAGTTTCTTGGAAGAAGGCTGGGATAGAAGGCATAGCTTTTGTGTGGAGTTTGAAGGCTACAAAAGGCTGTTTACAGATATTAAATGGAGCATAAAACGAACTTTATGAGTACTCAAAGAAACCTTCTGTCCTTAGGACGAGCAAACCCTGCCTCATATTAAAGGGGAGGGGGGATAGAAGTAATTAATAGCCGTTTGCAAATCTTTTCAGACTTTTGTCTTGAAGAAGTACCCAGTTGGGCACAAGGAATTTTTGTCGCATGCATGGTTATCAGAATCTATAAAGGGGAACCAGCAATTAAAGGCTCCCAGGGAGTGATGGCCGGCCATGATTTCCTCTGTATTTTGGGTGGTCCTCTGAAGTTCTGAGAAGTATAAAATTTGAAACATCTCCAAATATTTTTCGCATTTGGGTTTCTCTTTTTAAATGTTGCGATCCCAGGACTTGTTTAGATACGGATATCCCACGTTTCTCTCCAACGGGGACTTCAAATTGGTTTGCAACCTACACCCAGGCCTATAGCCAGAAAATTTTCGGGGGGGGGGGGGGGGGAAGGCACGTGCCTACATCACTTCTGACGTCACAAAAATAATCTACCTTGTTTCACTTTCTCAGGCTCTACAGCCCTGGAACAGAGCGGGGCCAGGCCGGGGCCGGGTAAGGAGAGGGGTTCATCATGGTAGTGGCAGGGAGGGGGAGACAGGCAACCAACACCCGCCTCCGACTCCTCACTGCCCTCCCAATGCAATGTAAGGAGCCCAGCTGGGCTGCAAACAGAGAGGCTCATGCAGTCTTGGGAGGGATGGGGAGGTGAGGGGGGGGACCGGGAGGGGTGGGCAGTGAGGGGGCAGGGCACATTTGTGAGGGAGCATCTCCTCAAACGCCCCCCCTTGTGGCTACGGGCCTGCATGCATCCTTCCTCCATTTTGTCCTCACAACAGCTCTGTGAGGTGGGTTAGGCTGAGAGTGAGTGACTGGCCCAAAGTCACCCAACGCACTTGCATTTGTCGGCACTGGAACCCAGAGTCTCCCCTCTCTTATTCTGACACTCTCACCACTGCATCACGCTGGGACTTTTAACTGTGCTTCTGAAGACCTGAAATCATAGTGTTTTTTGAAAAGTTGATCTTTTTAAACAGCATGTGTATCCATAATCAGGCTACCAAATTTGTTAATTTATTTGCAATGCTAATTTAAAGTAAGAAAGACGTGTACGTGTGAATATATTTAACACCACAGTTTCTAATCAAGGAAGATTGAGCTCAGCCATGCTGGCCTTCCACAGAAATACTTAGCTGAATTTCCTCTACTTACTTGTAAGTATGTCCCGTGATCTCATTCCTGACCATGACGCAATCCACCAGCCATTTGGCTAACAGCCCTGAGTTGTCATGGCCTAACTGAACAGTGGTTAATTTCCCCAAGTTCTGACACTGTACAGGGAGAGGGAAAAAAACATTTAAAGTCAAAATAATTTTAGAAATTACAACATACAGGAAAAAATACCCCATTTCTGTGCTCAAATAAGCACAGAATACTCCCCTGAGCTTTAAAGCTGCCACATGGATTCTAAACAGACAAGTGTGGGCCTGTAAGACTCCCCCCCCCCTTTTTTACCAGGCCCAGCGCAACTCCCGAGCCCTTCTAGCAACCACCAGAGGGAGGTGCGTTCTCTGTGCAATTACCCATCCCCCGGTATTTTTTAAAGATTTCCATCCATTGCGAGGAAATCAACACAACTCCGTAACATGGGAGGGCCTGGCATGATGTGGTCCATATTTTTAAGATTTCAGAAAAATCTGTTTTGGGTAAGTGTAGCCCCGATCCACAGATTTAGGTATCCACAGATGGGGGCCACACTTGGGAAATAGATATATAGATTCACCGTGGCCAAATGTGGTCTAGTTCATACGTGGATACTTGTCACTTCACGGCTGCAATCTTTACCACCACTGATCAACCAGTCATCCCAACCAACATTGCCTCAATGGCAACACTTTTCTGTGGTGTCCATTCACAAGGAGAAACACCAGTCAGCAAGGTACAACGTGAACACTGTACACACATCAAACAACATACTTGTGTATGGTACCAGGCCTTTAAGGGCAACAGCTGCATATGTGAATCAACTGATTGCATTTGAAAGGATACTGAAGTTTCATCAGTCGTATTATCATTAAGATGGGCTGTTCACACATGCCAGTCATGACGTGGAGCTGCAAGTAAGGAGGCCACGAGTATGCCTGTGTGAACCAGCTCCCCGTGGGTGTGGAAAATACATTTCTCAATTACACAGAGCAATTATTTAGAGGGAGAAAAAAGGAAATGGAATGCTGAACAGCATATAAGAAGGAAGCTTCCAAAAATCAGCATGATTTCATACATAAAGGGCAGGGGAGAGGAAATCTAGACTGATAGTAAGTCACACCAATTTCCAGTACTTGGTTGAACAATTGGCTTTGGAGGCTTTTTGCTTTTGTTGATTCTAACCCAAAACATGCCGCACTTTCAGTCCGATGGACAATGCTGTCAAGTTGCAGCTGACTTATGACCCTGTAGGGTTTTCAAGGCAAGAGACGTTCAGAGGTTGTTTGCCATTGCCTGCCACTGCATAGTGACGCTGGAGTTCTCCAATCTAAGTACTAACCAAAGCTGATCCTGCTAAGCTTTCAAACAGGGCTAGCCTGGGCCAGCTGGGTCAGTGTACACTTTCAGTAGTAAAGGTAAAAGTTTCCCTTGCTCGAAAGCCAGTCAAATCTGACTCTAGGGGGCGGTGCTCATCTCCGTTTCCAAGCCAAAGAGCCAGCGCTGTGTGAAGACTTCTCCGTGGTCATGTGGCCAGCATGACTGAACGCCGAGGTGCCTGGAACGCTGTTACCTTCCCACTGAAGGCCTCCCAAATCTACTTGCAATTTCTTGCTTTCGAACTGCTAGGTTGGCAGGAGCTGGGGCCAGAGACGGGAACTCACTCTGTCACGCGACACTCGGGCCTCGAACTGCCGAGCTACCGACCTTTGGGTCTGCAACTCAGCGTCTTAACCTCTGAGCCACTGAGCAGTTTCAATACAAGAGGTTTAATGGAGCCTCTGCTGAATTTAGGCTCCAACCCCAGTTTTGGAAATCTCAGTTCAAGCCCACAGCAAGCAGTGTTGTTTTACATACATCTATGCATTCTTCAGTGTGCACATAACGTTATTGGATAACGACTGGTAAACTGAGGAATGCTAATACACACAGAGGGAAGCACAGACTGTGGTCAGGTTCCATGTGCCCAGGACTCTCCCTCGGTCAGCTGCAGAAAGGGAAAACATCTCTCATGCTTCCTTCTGTCATATTCACAGGCACTGCAGCAGCTGCAAAATCAGGCATCTCTAGAAAAAGCAGCCCTATAAACACCGATGTGTGTGTGTGTGTGTGTCTTCAGCTTTTGCTTATTGCTTTTGTATAAACGAAACGCCTTTAAGGAGACGACAAAGAAATCGAGCTTCTCTTTTGCCCCAAGGATGTCACATGGTTCTGCGAGGGAGCAACCCACATTTCTTTAACCAGTGCGACGAGTGGAATGTGTTTAAATAAGATTTATTTATATTCCCACAACGTGCATGTAAGGTGGCTTTCAACAAGATGCATTAAACGCACGCGAAGGCCACATTCAGATCTCACGAACAAATCTCTGCCTGTGTTGGATACACATTCAGGTGGGGCGGCCGTGTTGGTCTCAAGCAGCAGAACAAAGTTCGAGTCCAGTGGCATCTTTAATGCCAACAAAATTTCATGCCTTGAGTAAAACTCTGTTGGGCTTAAAGGTGCCACTGGACTCAGGGCCGGCGCGAGGTGTTTCTGCGCCCTAGACGAGGCTGCCTTGTGGTGCAGATGCCAACCTCCCGGTGGGGCCTGGAAACCTCTGGAGCCAGCCACCCTTTTGCTACCGCCGCCACCGCCTCCTCCCCCTACGCAGCTGTCAGACCCAGCGAGCACGCCCCACATGTTCCTGCAGCGCCCTCCAAGATGGAAGAGATTTCTCTCGTGCTCCGCTTCCGAAGGCAGTTTGGGAGGGGGGGGGGATCCTGTCTCCAGGTGGGGGATGCTCACCAGATGCCTCTCCCCAATTAGTGAAGTGCTGACACTTGGAGAACTGCTCGCGGGCTTTTGGTGTGGGGGGGAGGCACAGCTCAGCGCCCCATCCAGGACCCAGCACTCTAGGCGAATGCCTAGTTCGACTAGTGGGTGAGCCGGCCCTGACTGGATTCAAACAATGTGTTGAATACAGTTGCTTCTTGCAATCCCCTGCTCCCTCCCACCTCTTCTCATGTACACAGCATGATTAGAGTCTTCCTGGTTCGGGAAGCCTTGAATCAGTCTGCATAACATCCAAATTTGCATAACAGCTGAATGCAGGTAAATCGGAAAACTGCCGTTTGTTTCCTCTCGACCAAGCAGCCTTCGACACTGGGGTTAAACTGCGGTTTGGAAGCTCTGTTCTTTGGGAGGGACTGCACAGGACTGATTTGCCCAAGAGCCTGCATTCAGACAGAATGGCAAACTGGAGTTTGATGGAAGGCCTCCCAAACCAGGAAGTTTCAATGGTGGTCTATGTGCAAAGAGAGGTGAGAAGAGGAAGTATGTGTACGACATGGCCAAGAAGCTGTTCTTATTGGCCATGATGAACAAGCAGAAGTGTTACATGGTGTCTGAATGCAACCAAAATACTTGGATTTTTTTTTAAAAGGCACACAACACATTACTAAATCCATTAATGACAAAAACACATAAATACATTATCAATTAGGAAGCTTATTTGCACATTTTTAAAGCATTATTCTAAATGCAAGTAACTTAAAAAAAAACATGGCTGCAGCTGGTTTTGGAAGCGGAAAAGATAGGGGTGAAGGTATAAAACTCACCTCAAATGTCATTTCTAGAAGATTTTTCGGAATCTGCATTATTCCAGTATCGCCCAGTTCTCCCGAAACACAAATCCATGGGTTCGAGGTGGTGATTGCATTGCTTAGCTTCTTAATGGGGATGATCACCGTCCTATATGGAATTACTGCAAAGGCAAGCAGGAATTTCAGAGTCTGGAAACTTAAATTAAGGGAAAGCAGTATTTTATGTACACAGAGAGAGACAGAGACAGAGAGAGCGAGAGCACATGCATTGTTGAAGGCACCCTAGAAATCACAGCAACATTAATAGTAAATGTGGCAGGATTCAGATAATATAAAGGCTCTTTTGAAAAACACACAGTGTTATTTACAGCACACTGCAACAATGTGTCCTGAGCATCTGGCGCATAAAGGCAGCACACCTCTGCACACGGAGGCTGCTTTCAGCTGATATCCTTCTTGAGTTTGTCTAACCCTTCTTAGCTAGTGGCTATCTCTGCATCTTGCAGCAGTGCATTCCATAAGTTAATTACGTGCCATGTGAAGAAGTACTTCCTTCTGCCATAAAAGTCCTAATGTAGTCCACCACAATAAATGAATAAAACGGAACTTACTTCTTAACAGACTTGCTGATTCCCAGGAAAGTATTCTTGGGATTGCAGCTGAAGTCTCCTAGCACCTCTAAACACATATTTATTGTGGCATAAGCTTTGTTTCAAATACGTTTTATTTAATAGGTTGAGAGGCACTAAGCCATTGGCAAAAGCTGCATACAAATTCAGTTTGCTGTAGTAGTTAAGAGCACAGACTCTAATCTGGGAGAACCGGGTTTGATTCCCCACTCCTTCCACATGCAGCAGTTGGCATGACCTTGGATCAGTCACAAGTTCTCTCAGAGCTGTTCTCTCAAGAACTCTCTCGGCCCCACCTACCTCACAGGGTGTCTGTTGTGTGGAGGGGATGGGAAAGGAGATTGTAAACGGCTCTGAGACTCCTTCGGATAGTGAAGGGTGGGGTATTCGTTTTCTACCCCAGCAATTTTGGCTTCCTGTCCCTTCTCAGTTTGGTGTAGTGGTTCAGTGCGTGGACTCTAATCTGGGACAACCGGGTTTGATTCCCCACTCCTCCACTTGCACCTGCTGGATGACCTTGGGCAAGCCGTAGTTCTGGCACAGCTGTTCTTGAAAAATAGCCGTTTCTGTCAAGAGCTCTCTCAGCCCCACCTACCTCACAGGGTGTCTGTTGTGGGGAGGGGAAGGGAAAGGAGTTTGTAAGCCGCTCTGAGACTCCTTTGGGTAGTGAAGGGTGTGGTATAAATCCAATCTCTTTTTTTTCCCTTCTCATCAGACGATGTGACTATCTGTAATTCATTCTCCGTTGCTGCCTCATCCCTGGGGACTGGCCTGCCTGAAGGCGTACAAAGGGCACCTTCACTGTCCGCCAGACATACGGCCGTGCTCTTCTACACAGTTTTCCAATAGCTTGTAGTCTTTGAGCAAAATTTTAACAACTGCTGCATGGATATTTTTAACAACTGATGTCGCATTGCGTAGGGGTTCCCCCCTCCTCCGTTTTACTGTTTTAACAAACCAGCTTTATGGCTGTCTGCTGGCTACCTTCAGCTCTGTGGAAAGGCAGGATAGAAACCATTTTAAAATGAAAATGAGAGGGTTTCCTGCAGTGATGCTGTTTTCTGTGTACCGAAACTGTCACAGCTTTTACAGCCATGTGGAAAGCATCACTGGCATCAATCGTTAGCACAGGCCGATCTAAAAAAATCCCACTAGATGCCGCTATTTGCAAAGCAGCCAGAAGGGAAGCAAATTTAGAAACTGCAGATTCATGCCCTTGCTATTTTTAGAAGGCAGGAAGGACAGTAGAGCAAAAAATAATAATCATACTTTCCCTCTTATTTTAGGTGTCACGTGCTGGGTCAATTTATTACCCAAATAAACCTCACGCTCGCTCTCGTTCTTCCTCCCTGTTCCCCTTGAGACGATAGCTTTGAGATTAACAGGGTTGCCAGCTCTGGTTTGGGAAATTCCTGGAGATTTGAGGGGTGGTTGATGGGGAGGGGAGAGACCTCAGTGGGGTGTAATACTATAGAGTCCACCCTCCAAATCAGCCTTTCTTCTTCAGGGGAACTGATCTCCATGACCTCTCCAGGCCCCACCTGGACCTTGACAACGACAACCCTGTCTCAGATGCATCGTGCACCTCCCTTTCTCACTACTCTGGCTTCTTTATTTTTATATACCCCCTTGCCTTTATTCCCTATGAGAACCCAAAGCAGCTCAAGCAATTGCTCTCCCATCTCCCATTTTATTCTCACAACCATCCATGGAGGCAGGTTACACTAAGAGTGTGCCCCACGGACACCCAGAAAGCTTTACAGGAGAGTAGGAATTGGAATCTGGGTTGGGATAGGCTCTGGTAGACCTGGGGTAGATACTCCTGCTGTGCTGTGAAGCTTGCTGGGTGCCTTTGGGCTGGTCTAGCAATCTTGCAACCTCTTTTAGGTACCAACTGTTAACTCTTGCAGTTTGCAAGTTGGAAAAACAGCCACCACCGCCCTGTCCCACTTGTGAGCTAAGCACATGCACGTGTGATTGGACCAAGTGGAGATGAACACGCCATCAACCCCACTCCCATACTGGAGACAAGTTCCAGGGCTCTTTTTGTAGCAGGAACTCCTTTGCATATTAGGCCACACCCCCTAATGTAGCCAATCCTCCAAGAGCTTACAGAGCTCTTCTTACAGGAGCTACTGTAAGCTCTTGGAGGATTGGCTACATTAGGGGTGTGTCGCTTAATATGCAAATGAGTACCTGCTACAAAAAGAGCCCATCATCATCATCATCATCATCATCATCATCATCATCATCATCATCATCATCATCATCATCAGGCATTGTGTGTAGAAGAGCCAAGAGATCCTAAGATTGTCTGGCAGCCACAAGTTCTAGCTCTTTTAGCATTATGCACCACTAGGGGGCGAACTAGACTTGTTTTTTAAGGCAAGAGACGTTTCAGAGGTGGTTTTGCCATTGCTTGCCTCTGTGCCAGGACCCTGGTATTCCGTGGAGGTCACCCTTCCAAATACTAGCCAAGGCCGACATTTACCTTCTGAGATTTGACAGGATTGGGCGAGTCTGGGCTATCCAGGTCAGGGCAGCTAAGCACAGGTGAAAATAAGCACTAGTAAGGGATCAGTTTTTGAGGCCCCCTTCACGTGCATCTGGGATAGTACGGCAGCTCTGAATTATATTCGGCAATGTGTAATAGACTGAACGAGAGGTAGATTTGTTGGTCTTCCTTCCATCGTTTGCATGCTTACTTAACACGTACCGAAAACCAACACCATAGGTGATTAATTTCACATCCTCCCTGAAATAATGTGGGAGCAACAGCTATTGTGGAGGAAGTGGCACTCGTGTTCCCCATGGCATGGGAGTGTCAGTCTACCGCTACTGCAGAAGGCAGGGACTTGCCCCCCAACTGGGCTCAACTGACGCCACTGCACAACAGGAGTGACCCAGGGATTGTGCTTGGTCCTTTTAGCTGGTATCTCTCAAGATTAAGGGCTCACATCTAAAGCTCTGGACATTTATGTGTCCCCTGCCTCCCCAGTTCGTCTCAGGCTGCCTTTCCTCTCCTATATCCCTCTTCAGTCACAAGCAAATTCTGGCCACAAAGTGGCAAGGGTATAAGAAGACAAATTCCAACTGCCTGCCCTCCACTTCTGGCACTGTTCTACTCTAGCCTAGTAGCCTAACTTCTTTTTTATTTTATTTTTTTTGGTACTTTTTTGAAGTGTGTGTGTGTGTGTGCCCCTGGAAGTCATGGCAACTTCTGGTGACTGACGCCTACTGGGGGCCTAGAGGAAATCCAGAGAGGTTGCTGAATAAAGCCTGTCCCCACCTCCCAACTACTGGTATTCCTTGGAGGTCTCCCATCCAAGTACTTGCCAGAGTCGACCCTGCTTCGCTTCCGAGATCTGACGAGATGCGGCTTGCCTGGGCTATCTAGGTCAGGGGGGCTGTCTAACTTCTTTTTTGAAACTGCCCTACCGTGTTTCACACCGCTGGTCTACAAAGTCAGTACAAAGTCTGAGTGGCAGCAGTTCTCCAGGGGCTCTGGGGTCTTCCACATCACCTACTACCTGATCCCTTAAACTGAGGATGCCGGGGATCGAACCTGGGACCTTCTACACGTAAAGCAGATGCTCTGTCATTGAGCCACGGCCCCTATTTGCCACTGATCTTACTCCTACCCCTCTCACAGCAGCCTGACATGTAGGAATTGAGCAGGCACGGCGCTGTCGGCAAGGGAAACATTTAAGTTCTAAGGAGACAGAAGAGGAGAACCAACACGACACAAGTATCCCTCCAATGATGTATGCCCTAGCTAGGAGGACTGGGCGCATACGGCCATTTGTGCTCGTGCGATCCCCTCCAGAAAGCACTGTTTGAAATGGGTGCACATCTGACATTTGGGAGACAAGAAGCTTTATTGATAAAAAGACCCTTGGATCCCTGGAATCCTTCCGCCCATTTTTTAACGTAGATGTTGGGGAAAACTTTACCTAATAATTCTGCACGTTAGGGCTGCTGTTAGAGACCCAGCAGGGAAGCTGGCAGCTGCACTCGGGGAACTTTGCCAAATCCTGAACACCCGACACAACTCGCCTGTAATAAACCTGTCATGAATTTAGCCGCGTATATTTGTGTGTCAGAACTTGGCAGCCCCCAGCTCCGCTCCCTCCGAGCTTCTTTCTCCTTCCAAATCACTGCCTCCTCCTCCTCCTCCCCCCGTTCCCATATACCTCCATCCTCTCATAAGGACAGAGCTGGCAAAGGACAGGGCTTATATCCAAGCAGTGCGCTGTTGCTAAAGGTGTTTTATGGTCACAAGCAGTGAAAAAACACTGCTTCTTGGGGGTGGCCAAAGGGGCTGGGAGAAGGCCGAGAAGGTGCTGCAGCCTGGATGGAAAAGCTCACGGGGAAACGGAAGGTTTTCTCGGGCACTAGAGGTGACATCATCATGCTGGGCACGGGATGCTCTAGCATCTGGGCACCAGGCCCCCAGTAGGGGTCAGTCACCAGAGGTCACCATGACTTCCAGGTGCGCACACAGTCAGTCACCAGAGGTGACACCCTCGCGC